ATGTCATGCAATTGATGACAGGCTCCCATTCACCACAGGAAACTCAGTTGGCCATTTTATTAGCTGTGAAGTAAAAAGACTCTGAGTTTTATATATGTGAATATTTTTATCACACTTATAAACAACATCATGATGTTTTAGTGTATCCACAAATGAACATGAGTATTAGCCATGTAAAAATCAAGTTTCTAGATGTTCATTATGACTGCATAGAATGTGTACAAACCCAAAGACATACAAGGCTTAATTTTTTGACTCAAAAGTGTTATAAATAAATTATGAACAAATACTACTTTTAAAATAGTAACCTTGTAATTTTATTAGTCTCAAAAAAAAAAAAAAACACACACACACCTAGGTTAGGGGTTAGGCAAACTACAGCCTATACATCAAATCTGGCCCAACTTGCTGGGCATGGTAGCACACTGCTGTAATCCTAGCAGCTCAGCAGTCTAAGGCAGGAGAATAGCAAATTCAAGACCAGTCTCAGCAACTTAGTGAGACCCTGTCTCAAAAAAAAAAAAAAAAAAAAAAAATCAAAAGGCTTAGGGATGTAGCTCTGTGGTAAAGCACCTCTGGGTTAAATTCCCAGTACCCCCACCCTCCAAAAATCTAGCCTACCTCCTGTATTTATAAATAAGTTTTGTTTTATTAAAACAAGACCATGTCCACCTGTTATATACTGTCCGTAGCTGCTTTCCCAAGACAGAAGTAACACTTAATAGTGTTACTTGATTTAACTACCTGGCCCTTTACCAAAAAAAATTTGCCAATCATTATTCTAAACAAAAGCAATTGCTGGTAAATGACAATTTTCTTACACTTCCTTTAGCAACTAGGACTTTCCATAGATAAGCATTTATTTTATATTCTAGTAAAAATGACTACAGTTAGGTCAAGCTTTTGCATTAATGCTCAAAACGACTGAAGTCAAGCCAGCAAAGGTGTTTATAATAATTCTCGTTTGCTGCCTAACAATTATTATAAAAGCTGATAGCTTAAAACATTTATTATCTCCCAGGTTTCTCTGTGGGCCAGGGATTTAGAGTTGGTTGGTTAATGTCATTTGAAACTTGACTAGAGTTGGAAGATCTACTTCTAAGGGAGTTAACTCACATGACTGACAAAGGTTGTGCTGACTGCTGACAGAGACTTCAGCTCCCCTCTACAGGACCTCATAAGTGTTCTCTGGCATAGCAGCCAGCCTTCCCCAGAGTGAATATTCCATGAGAAAAAGTCAGGTAAATATGATCCCTTTTTATAACTTTGCCTCCAAAGTAGATCACATCACTTTCTCCACATTCCATTACAGAACTGAGTTACTAAGTCCAAGCAACACTGCTGAGGTTTAAGGTCAGGCTCCACTTTTTCAAGGGAGGCCATCAAAAAATCTAAAGGTAGCAACACTACTTCAGGGTTCCAAACCTTCAGCTTCAGCAACAAAGCAGAGTCTTATCTGATTGTTTTTAAAATCTGTGCTTAATTATTTTCATAATATATATTTTGTTTTACTAATGACAGAAAACAGGGTTTATCACCAATTGTTAACATTCTCCAAGGAAAAAAATTTAGCCAACAAAAAAAACAAAGCACTTCAGCTTTTTCTATCTGATGCAATGATGATGGGAGACAATTATAGTTTGGTTGTATTTCTCGACCCTACCCCCAACCCCTGGCAGAGAGACAAATTATGATGAATAGGACCATGATCATAAGTAACTAAAAAATTGGACCAGGAAAACAAGTCTTTATGATTCAGAATCATATACAAGATTTTCACAGATATAAACAAAAATAACAAGCAAAGAGAAATTCAGATCTGCATTCAAAAGGGGAGCAGGGCAGTTTGAGGGAGAGAGTGTGGATTATACCATGATTTGCATCAGAGATACATCTAAAACAAGAAATATATGTATATTATTACCTGCAACAATTAAATATATTTTTAAAATGTTTTGGTCAGTAGACACAATGAAGACTTAGCCAAACACATCTGTTACAACTGTGGAATTTCAATATAGGCTATAAGAAGGGCTGGGGAACAGAACTTTTCCATAGAGGAAAATGAAGTAAGAGTCATTTTAATTTCCTCCTCAGAAAGCTCAAAATGTTCCTAAACTGGACATTAAACTGCTAAGGGGCTGGGGATACAGACCGGATACTTGCCTAAAATACAAAAGGGAAGATAAAAAGCACTGCTTTAAAACAAATTCGAATCCTTGTACTGGGCTAGAAATTCATATCCACCCAGAACCTGTAAATGTGAACTTATTTAGAATGTGAACTTATAAATTAGAGTTTTTGCAGATGGTTATCAAGTTAAGATGAGGTCACACTAGATTAGGATGAAAGCCCTAACTCAATGACTGATGATGCTCTTAGAAGGAAAGGGAAATATGGACACAGAGATACACAAGAAAAACAGTATGGTATGTGACAAAAAACAGAGATTGGAGTGCCTTTTCTCCAACTCCTGGTAACCCAAGAAGCAAGAACAGCACAGTGTGGATTTCATGCCTGAAATCCCAGTGATTGGAGGTTTAGAGAGAAGAATCACCAAGTTCAAGATCACAAGACCCTATCTAAAAAAATAAAAAGGACTAGAAATGTAGCACAGTGGTAAAGTGCCCCTGGGTTCAATTCCCAATCTGCAAAAATATAAAAGAAGCCAGGAGAAAGGCATGGAGTAGATTCTTCCTGAACCCCAAGAAGGAATCAAGCCTGCCAAAACTATAATTCCATATATATTTTTTTGGGGGGGGGAGGTAGGGGGCAGTGCTGGGAATTGAACCTAGGGCCTTGTGCACGCAAGGCAAGCACTCTACCAACTAAGCTATATTCCCAGCCCTCATATTTTTTTTTAATATTTTACTTTTATAGTTGGACACAATACCTTTATTTATTTTTATGTGGTGCTGAGGATCGAACCCAGGGCCTCACACGCACAAGGCGAGTGCTCTACCTCTGAGCCATAACCCCAGTCCCTAATTTCATATTTTTTACCTCTACAACTATGGAAGAATAAGTTTCTATTGTTATAAGCCATCAAATTTGTAATAATTTTTATTCTGGCAGCCCTAGGAAACTAATATAGCCACCTCATTCATATTAAGAAATTTTAATAATTTCATTATTTTTAGTATTAGAGATATTTATCTTCAGCCTGAAACTGAAATATTCACCAAATAAGATTTATATATATATACACATATTAGTTCTAGATAGACATGATACCTTTATTTAATTTATTTATTTTTATGTGGTGCTGGGTATGAAATCCAAGGCTTCACACATGTGAGGCGAGTGCTCTACCACTGAGCCACAACCCCAGCCCCCAAATAAGGTTTTTAGTTCACAAATTCAGAACAACTGGAAATGTCATCTCTATCAAAGATACTCCTCCTTTTGGGCACTGTCACAAGGATGAATTTGACTTAGACTCCAGTGGCCTATGTACTTTGCTATTTAGGGCACCAGAAGTGAAGTCCTCTTAAAGGCCAGTAAAGCACTGTCCATATTAGAGGCTCAATTCACCTTAGCTGATATCCAATGGCCTACAAAACTTACATCTTTGTTGAATTTCTCCTACTAGAATACAGGTCTAACACAGAACTACAGATTTCAATAAGTTTACCCTCAGTAGGGCACAGTGGTATATGCTTATTATCCTTGCTACTATGAAAACTAAAAGTAGGATAGAAAGTTCAAGGGCAGTCAAGACAATTTACTGAGACCCAGTCTCAAAATAAAATAAAAAGACTGGAGATGTGGCTAATGGCAGAGCCCTTGCTTAGCATGTGCAAGGTCCTACGTCCAACCCTCTGTACTGCACCCCAAAAAAAAAAAAAAATTATCTTCCAGATTTAAAGTCTTCTTTTCAAATTTACAGTGTAACAATGATAATTTTTCTAACATTAATTACTGGTAAGGTGTGGATTAACTTACCATTTTACCTATTCAATTTTGAGTTGACAAAAACATGATTGATGTAAGCCAAGATATTTTTTTAAATGAGTTAATATAATTTTTTTATTTGTTCTTTTTAGTTGTATATGACAGTAGAATGTATTCTGACACACATACATGGGGTATAACTTCCCATTCTTGTGGTTGTACATGCTGTGGAGTTATACTGGTCATGTATTCATGAACATAGGAAAGTTACGTCCGATTCATTCTACTGTCTTTCCTATGCCATCTCCCTAACCCTTTGTCTAATCCAATGAATTTATATTCTTCCCTCTGTATATCAGAGAGAACATTTAGCCTTTGGTTTTTTGGAATTGGCTTATTTCACTTAGCATGATAGTTTCCAGTTCCATCCATTTGCCAGCAAATGCCATAATTTTATTTTTCTTTATGCCCAGATATATTTATGTCAAACTCAAACCAGTACAAATATGTATAGATGATTTAACATACTAGTGTGAAAGTACAGGACAATTTCTAGGGTATTTTCAGAGTAATGAATATTATCAAGCTAAATGTTTCACATTATCCCAATATCATACTATGAATTAAAAAGAGGTATCACAAGAAGAAAGATAAAACTTCTGTCACTTTTATACCCTTTAGAATTGTGCAATAACATTTCTGTGACTTAACTAATTCTTGAAACACCCAAGAGAAGTAGATTCAGACTCTCCAAAAAGACATTTCTTTGTAAGCGTATCTTCTGATTAAAATATGCGCCTATACAATTAATTATACAACTCAAATAAATATTATAAGTTACTGAATAATTAAGTAGCAAGCACTGACTACTGACCACAGAAAATTTCCTCCAAAGATGGCTTTTGCAGAACCTGGGGATGTAACCCAGTGGCAGAGTTGTTACCTAGCATATACAAGGTCCTGGATTGCATTCCCAGTGTGTGTGGGGGGGTTCTGGGGAACTG